AAAGATAATACTCATTTAGATAAATATGAAAACAATTAAGTTTTGTTATCATTTTGAAATCTCCGCATAATCCAAGTTATATTCATTTTATTAGATTATATTCTTAATATCACCATTTTTATTCTTATATGATTAAAATTTGTTTTCATATTTGTTTGGATGCAAATCTCGTCGTAATGAAGAAGATAATTGAAAAGAGCAGAAATATTTTAAATGATGCTATTACCAAATATTCTTAATAAGTTATCTAGTTGAAGAGATTATCTCACATATTAATTTATTTGTTACATTCTAACAAATGTATACTCTTAAATTCGTTAGTTCTTTATAATAATTTTTTATAAAATAATTTTAAAAGGTTTATAACAATTTAAGTTCTAGGTGTTTTATTTTACATATTTATTGTATAAATAAAATGAAAATTCTATTTTATTTTTATTTTTTTATTTGATGAACTACTATAAGAACTATATTTCAATTTAAATTATGATGCGCTATAAATATCTATTTATTTTACATGTTTGTTTGTTATAAAACGAAAGTCCTACTACATTACATTACATTTACTTGAAAGATAAGTTATTAGCATAAATGGTGTACATATATAATGTTTGTTTCATGATTTTATAATCTGCTATATAACAGCAAATTACTATTTAACATTAAGTACTTTCGTATTTGCTTAAAAATGCTTTTTTCTATCATTAGGAATAGTTACTTTTTACCATATAGTCAAAAGGCAAATTATAAATAAAAATTGCAAATATATTAAGGTAATTAATAAACATGATATTTCTATAATTATCACCATAATTGGCGACATTTAGGAATATTGATTTTGTAGTTTAAATCAGTGTCATAATATTGTTATTACAATTAAAATGGAGAGATAATCAAGGCAATATATTGTTGGAAAAAGATTTGGTGGAAAAAGATTTGGTGGAAAATAATTAATAAAAACTATAGGTTTTAAATAATACGGTGGCAAAGATCTGTAAATATTTCCAAAAATCAAGGGGACCTCAAAAAAAGGCCTTGTGTTTTAATAGTATAGATGCATCAAATTCTAAGCTAAGTGCAATCTCTTGAGTTAACCTTTATTATTTGTAATTTTAAATATTTGTCTCCACATTTACGTTTCACATCTTCATGCTCCATTTTTATGACCTTTTCTTGATTCCATAATTCATTTCAGTATAGTTGCCTCACTACTACCGAGTATGTGTTTATTTCCTTTTACCATGTTGTTGTGTGTCCAACATTTTTTATATTTGTTTTTTGTCAAGTTATTTATTTATGTGTATGGTTGCTCGTATATTTACATGTTGTTGTGTGTCCAACATTTATTTATATTTGTTTTTTGTCAAGTTATTTATTTATGTGTATGGTTGCTCGTATATTTAAATGTATGCCACATTGGATAAGTATTTCAATCAGGTCACCACGATCTGATTTGAGCCCATGCTTGCCGAACGAACTAGTCCACAAATTTACATAAATCCATACATGTGTTGCATGTTGATCCCATATAATGAGCTAATTGAACTTCCATATTTAGTTTTTCTTATACTTAAAAAAAATCAAAATCTTCTGAGAAGTCATTTTTTATAGTTTATATACTGAATACAATTTAATACTGCTGTTTTAGAATATAAAATCAACTGATCAATTTATATATGTATATAACTTAAGATCTTAAAAACAATAGATAACACAATATTAAGCAAGGTAAAAGGTGGCAAAGAATCTAGAGTAAGTAGTGTAGATGATGACACATAGACCACACGCGTGGATCACCAAGATCACAATGACGTTGAGAATCATTAAAAACCCTAAAACCCTCGAAGTTCCACCTACTTTTCTTGTTCTCTTTTGCCCAGTCTTTTTCCCTTAAAATTCGAACGTTACATTTGTTTTTGTAGTAAACGTAAAAATTTATAGCTAAAAGACAAACAAGTATGTTATCAACTATATCTAACATTTTGATAAAATATTTTCTTAATTTTATATGGATATTTGGTTATTGAAAAAGTTGTATATCTGGTTTCTTGTACCGTTGTGATGAGTTTTTGTATATAAACGAAGAGTGATACTTTCGTTTCTGCATCAAGTAAAACAATTGACATACTCACATCCAAGGAAAAATAATCAAAAGCTTTATACAAGCTTCTTCATGGCGATGTCAGGAACATATGTGAAAGAGGTTCCTCTTAAAGGGTCGGCGAAGAATCACTACAAGAGGTGGAGGAGCGAAAACCACCTCTTCCCCGACGCCGTCGGCCATCACATCCAAGGTGTCAAGGTCCACGAAGGAGACTGGGACTCCCACGGTGCCATCAAGTCCTGGAACTATACATGCGGTTCACACTTTAACCTTTTCTCTATATTTGTATAACTATCTAGGGTTTCTGTTAAAAGCTAGTATTGTATGTGTATTTATGAAGATGGGAAGCAAGAGGTTTTCAAGGAGAAGAGAGAGTTAGACGACGACAAGATGGCAGTGACTTTTAGAGGGCTTGAGGGTCACGTGATGGAGCAGCTTAAGGTGTATGACGTCATCTTCCAGTTCATCCCCAAGACTCAGCAAGGCTGCGTCTGCAAAGTCACTATGATGTGGGAAAAGCGCTACGAAGACTCTCCAGAGCCCATCAACTACATGAAGTTCGTCACGAACATGGCTGCTGACATGGACGACCACATTCTCAAGGACCAGAAGAAGGTTTAAATTTGTGTCCTTGTGGTTTGGCTCGCACGTAATCATCCGCCTAGCTTTTTTTCTTTTGTATATATATCTTGTACTGTAATAATAATGGCGGTCTTGTATGCTTGTGTATTATCTATCTTTCGTAATAAACCTTAAATCCTGTCAGATCCCTTTTCTTATATATATACAGTATATATATATATATATATATCATCTGTCTTTTAATATTTCGTATTGATATGCTTTCCAAATAATCTTTTTTTGCATAACTTACCCAAAATTAAACAAAGAGAAAAGCCTATATATATATATATATATATATATACTGTAACCTAGTCTCAGTCAAGATGATTAACTACAAGTCTACAAGTTAAATATAAAATGTTTGCAACTTTTTGTAACATCCCGGTTTGTGGTATATGGAAAGGCTTAAGAGAATTGATTTGACTACCTATGTCACCAAAGTGCACTTACTTTTTCGGGAGCACATCCAAAGAGAACTCCAGAGTTAAGCGTGCTTGAGCTGGAGTAGTCAAAGGATGGGTGACCTATCGGGAAGTGGTTTGCGATACCGTGTAAGTGAGGCCAAAGCACGGGAAAAGGTCGGGTGGTGACTGCAGGGTCAGTAAACATGACTCTAGAGCCTTAGAAAATTAACGGACCGACCGTTGGAACGGGATGGGCCCACGGGCCGAGAGAGCGGGCGTGGGTGGCCCATTAGCCGTGGGCGGTCGGGGCGTTACAAGTGGTATCAGAGCCGAACTCCAACGAGTGTGGAGTCAGTGAGGGCTCACACTAACAGGGGTAACGATCTTGGGGCGCAACAGGGACGTTGCGTTCTTTGAGAGGGGGTGAATTGTAACATCCCGGTTTGTGGTATATGGAAAGGCTTAAGAGAATTGATTTGACTACCTATGTCACCAAAGTGCACTTACCTTTTCGGGAGCACATCCAAAGAGAACTCCAGAGTTAAGTGTGCTTGAGCTGGAGTAGTCAAAGGATGGGTGACCTATCGGGAAGTGGTTTGCGATACCGTGTAAGTGAGGCCAAAGCACGGGAAAAGGTCGGGTGGTGACTGCAGGGTCAGTAAACATGACTCTAGAGCCTTAGAAAATTAACGGACCGACCGTTGGAACGGGATGGAGCCCACGGGCCGAGAGAGCGGGCGTGGGTGGCCCATTAGCCGTGGGCGGTCGGGGCGTTACACTTTTTAGCTATGTTATAGAAAAGGTGACTAAAACAAGCTTATTTATAACTAAACCCATTAATCATAAAGTAAACTGAATGCAAATAAGTAATTAAGAATTACAATAATAAGATGTATCAGGGAATTGGGAATACCAAATCATCTTCAGAATCTAATAATGCATTATGTCAACCAAAACAGATTAGTTATCAAATCTTCAGTCATTGCAATTTAACAGGGCTCCAACTTGATCATATCATCTTTAACTCTTCAAACTGCGAACATTATAATCCGTGTTCAAAAACTCGGCCGAGTTACCGATTAATCGGCCGACTACTCGCTAGACGTGTCCTTACCGTAGCGAAAAGGCTCTGTTCGGTTAGCTAGGCGGTCAACGCGTTTTTGCCGAGTTTGACCGATTGATAACAAAAGTCGACGTGTAATTGAACTGAACGATTAGATTGATTTGGGCCGATTATACCACTTTTACTTAGAAAACGCAGCCCAAAGATATTTCCTTTTATTATATACACACTAAAAGGATCTTTTCTTCTTTTATTATACTAAGTTGGGATTTTGTTTCTGCAAGAAACCCTGACGTATAATTGAATTGGCCAATTAGATTGATCTCTCTTTTCTTTTACTCGACATCAATTAGTTTTTGGGTTCTTGTTTCGTCACGAGCTTTGCATTAATCTTTGGCCTTCTGTTAACTAGTTGCGTACTCCCCGCGCAAGCGCGGGGCCGGGATCATTATATTTGCGTGTATTTTTTTCGATTGTCAGTTTAGTGGATTCTTCTAATGACACCAAATAATAATGAAATAAAAAATTTCATATTTCTATATTGTATGTCAAAACTTGATATAATTCTATATTTATAGTATTTATATTTGTATTAAACGATTTATCAATTTGAAAATAACCTTAATTAAGTTAATATTCGTTGTTTAATTTTCATTAGATAGGTTTTTATATATGGTTTTTTGTAAGTTTGAGTTTTGTTCATAAATGATGTGACATTTTTATCTACGAAGTCATCGACTGTGTTAATCCATTCGCCAAAGTCTGGAGTCGGTGGTGAGAAATGTTTTTAATGAAATTATAGTAGTTATTAAAATGTAAGAGAAATTATATATTCATTTAATAAATAACTAAAAATACTTAAATTTTGTTGTTTGTTTTATTTTATTTCACATACAATTTTTTGAAAAATATTAGGTATGTGTTAAATGTTATTTATATGCGAAGTAAGGTTTATAGAATAGTTAGGCTATAATATAATTTTTAGTGTGTAAAAGTATCTGTGTTTTTTTTTTTTTGCTGTAAATAGTTTTTATATCGTAGATCAAAACTTGATATAATTCTATATTTCTATTATTTATATTTGTATTAAAAGATTTATCAATTTGAAAATAACCTTAATTAAGTTAATATTCGTTGTTTAAGTTTCGTTAGATAGGTTTTTATATATGGTTTTTTGTAAGTTTGAGTTTTGTTCATAAATGATGTGCCATTTTTATCTACGGCGTCATCAACTGTGGAAATCCATTCGCCGGAGTGTGGAATCGGTGGTGACGGTGGTGAGGAATGTTTTCAATGAAATTATAGTAGTTATTAAAATGTAAGAGAAATTACATATTCATTTAATAAATAACGAAAATAATTAATTTTTGTTGTTTTTTTTTATTTTATCTCACATACAAATTTTTTGGAAATATATATTAGGAAATATGTGCAATGANTGAGGAATGTTTTCAATGAAATTATAGTAGTTATTAAAATGTAAGAGAAATTACATATTCATTTAATAAATAACGAAAATAATTAATTTTTGTTGTTTTTTTTTATTTTATCTCACATACAAATTTTTTGGAAATATATATTAGGAAATATGTGCAATGATTTAACTTTTTGTGCTACTAATCTATATTATTCAAGCCTTATTAAGCCATCCACGTAGGCACCCGCGTGGAATTCACTTTTTTTTTGGTCTGTTCATTTTTGGATTTATTTTTAATTATTTTTGGGTTGAGCTATATTATAATAGGATAGTTTTAAGGTTTTTTAAGCCATCCGCGTAGGCAACCGCGTGAGACTTGCTTTTTTTTTTATTGTTCGTTTTGGATTCATTTTTAACTATTTTGAGTTTGAACTTGTTAAGATTTAGGGTTTATCCAACTATTTTGATATTTAAAAAAATAAGCCCAAAAAAAAAACATAAAAACCTTATAAACAAAAGGCTCATATGATAATAACTCAAATAAAAAAAAAAATCAAAAATACATGATAGCTGCGTGGTTTGAACCCACAATCTTGCATACTTAATTAGACACCTTATACCACTTGGCTAAAGTGTATTTCATTGTTTATAATTATCTTACCAAGACTATGGGTGTTTCAAAATATCTACGGGACTCACAAACAAAATAAAGGTATAAAAACATGAGAGCAGTGGGAATTGAACCCATACCCTTGCAGACCAAACATAGGGCCTTAGACCACTTGACTGAACTAATTTTCTTTGTTTATAGCCATTTTAGAAAAACTATCTATTTTAATATAAAAATGTAGGGCCCACAATTTGCCTATGTGGACACCTTAAGGAGTCTTTAAACTGTATCATTATAATATAGATTTAATGAAGTTCGTCGTATATGTTCGTTATGTGTTTGTGACTTTGTGTTCGTCATACGTATGTACATATTCGTAATGTGCCGAGTTTACAGCTGCTATAAGACATTTGATTTTGTTTATTTTTGATTTCAAAGTCAAGCTGACATTGTTTTTTGCATACAAAAAAACTATACCATTCTAATACATTTATATTATATATAATTTAAATATTATATTAAAATAAAATAATAATAAAATTAATCTCCGTGTATACCCCGATTAATCCCCGATTTTTTGTTAAGTCGCTAGGCCCGGGGTTGCCGCCCGACTAGCGCCTAGCGTAATTTCGAACCTTGATTATAATACATGTTCGGAATTGTACTACCACCATCATGGTGGTATAACTGTCGTTTTTCATTGAAACGAAGTTGCATTATTATTCCATATAGGTTAACATCATGGCAGCAATGTGATTATGCGCAGCACCTCCACACAGTATTGCTTTTAGTTTTTTTTTTTTTTTGGTAAACAGTATTGCTTTCAGTTGAAATGTAAAACTTATTGATTAACAAAAGAAAAAAAGTAGTTATTTACAACTGATGGCAAAAATAGGAAAATTAAATATACAAAACGTGTTACTCACAACTGATGGAAAATAATGAATTGCAAATCAGTTTAAATACGTTGTTTTTTTCTGAGAAATTTTTAAATTGTTTCCATATTAGTATCTTATATCAGATTAAAATATCTTTAGTGCATATTTTTTTATATTCTATTAAAATAGGGTCACTATTTTTATGTACTACGAAGAAATCATACTAGAACCATTTCAATTATTATTTAATATGACTTATTTAATTATTTATATTAATTAATCAAATATATAGTATTTCTATAAAAAAATTAATAATGCATAATTATATTAATGACAAATCAATTTAACTACAAATTTAAATTTATTTTAATTAGAAAAAATTGTTGTGAAAATCTAACAAATTTTACTAAATATTTTAAAAAAATTTATAAAATATTCCACTATTTAATTTCGTAATTAATATTTTATATTAATGTTAATTAAAAATTTATTATAAAACAAAAAATTATATCCTACTTTTATAAACATTATAATTATAGTATATATTCTTTTAAATACAGTTACTTAATATTAAAAATATATATTAAATGGTAAATTAAAATATTCTCATTTAAAATATATTTTAAACACACATGGAAATATAAACTATCCTAAACAAATATCCTTTATACAGTATAGCTGAATAAAATTTTCAAAAATATATTGTACGCAAACTGTAGCAATATATATATATATATATATATATATATATAGGAGATTCTCCATTTGATTCTTTTTTATAATGAATTTATTGTACCAACCTTGAAAATATATGGATCTGTGATAATAATTAACAACAAAATAAAATATATAAAACAAATTATTATATATTAATAATTTAGAATAAGAAACCTAAATTATAACATTATAGAGTAATACAATATATAACACTAAAATTTAAATCATATATTTTAATTGTTAACAAGAAGTTATTATATTTATAAAATAAAAAATAGCCGCACAAAAAATTCTATTGATCTATTAAAATAAAGAATTTTTATTAATGGGTTTTCAGACTATCATAAAAAGTTATAACAGTCCAAATAAAATTGACCTTATTGATAATATAAGTTCAATAATATAAGAATAATAGGCAATAACTTTTTCAGTTTCAAACTAATATTGATTATTTAGATTGTTATTAAACCATCCTAAATTTTCTCAATTCAAATAAGAAACCAATATTCATATATCAGAATAAACATATTTTAAAAGTATTTCTTTTTAATTATCAATATCTTGTATAATTATCTATGTATAAGAAAACAGATTTCTTAAACCATATCAAATGTATGTGTAATTATATATATACAAAGAATCTAAATTTCTCCATTTCATAAAATAATAATATTTGTATACCAAGAAATAATATTCTATAAATACATATTTAACTCAAATATGTATTTATTTATCATATATATTTATAGTTTATGCAAGAAAGAAAATAGAATTCTGAAACTGTATAATTATTCATGTAACAATTCTAAGAAAAGGAAAAACTAAGAAAATCTAAAAAAAAAAAAATATAGAGTGGAGTAGGGAGAGAATATTCTCATACCGAATTTTGTAAATACCCTCAAGATATATATTCACTTGACTATGCGTCATTTTTTAAATGGCTTACTTTAGAACAAAAAATCAAACTAGATTATTGTGACTAAGAAATTAATTATGAGTAACCTACTGCTGATGGTCGGCCTGGGTAAATAAACCGAAACCAAACCGAAAAAATTAAATTTGAAATCAAACTACGATATACAAATTTTTAAATAATTTCTATATATTTAGAACCGAAGCAGAACCAAACTGAAAATAAGATGGGTACATGTGTATCTAAAATACACTCTATATACTTAGAATATTATTTAAATTTAGTTTTAAAATTACTTAATGTTTTAAAAATATTACCTATAAACCGAGGTACCAGAAAATGAGGTACCCAGATGTTTTATCTGAAATATTTAAAATTATATGGATTGCTTTAAAAACCTAGCTAACTGAATAATATTTTTTATCTAAAATATTTAAATCTATCTGAATTATCAAATATTTAATCTGAAGACAAAAATATCTAATTTTAACTGAACTATCCAAAAAGCATAATTTGATTGAAGCCAAAAAATTTATCCGACTTTAGCACATTAGCGGATTCCGAGTATTCTTAGTCAAAACAAAACTAATATAACTTCTTAGTCAAAACAAAACTAATATAACCGAAATAAAATTAATCCAATTTTCATAAATAACTGAACAATTTTTAATTTTTTTAACAACAAGACAAACTCCCAAGACTTAGTTGAGGGTTCTCTTCGAATCTTTAAGTCAAGTTTAATTAATTTATTGACTCATCTCTTTTCCAGGCTGTGTTAATGAAGTGATAGTAGCTTTGAGCAAACACCAAAAATACACAGATCACCTGTCTGACTAGTATGGTTGCTGCCAAAAAGAAATAAAAAGACAAGTGTGGTCCAAATTTAAGTTGGGCTTTCGAACTTTTGGTAGTGGCCGGCAGATCTGGAACTGCTTTGAAATTTCATCCTTAAATTTGGTTCTTACAATAATAATCTTATATGGCGGCTCAATACTTTCGATCAAAAAAAAAAAATATGGCGGCTCAATACTTAAATCACCAGCCTTGCACTACTGAACTATCAAAAAGAAAAAGCAACTTGAAATACTAACCAAAAAAATACATTTATATGGTGGATCTTACTGATTTCAGGTTTTTCCATGCAACGTTGTTTAGGTTGGAAGATTAATTGCATCATTTTCTTGTACACATTTATTTATTTTCCACATCATAAAGAATTGAACCTTTAAATGGTCTGAAATGCTAAGGACGACTTCATCAACATTCTCCCACCCAGTCAACTGGCTTTTATTGATTACCGATAGACATAGGAACAAGAGACTAGGCCTGGGCGTTCATCCCATTCGGTTTCGGTTCGGGTTATTTGGATTTTCGAATTTTCGGTGTTATGCTAACCAGTACCGGTCCTGACATAGGACAGACCAAAAGCAATTTTTTAAAAATTGATCATTTTTATAAGAACGTTTATATACTATAATACTAATTTTCTTATAAAAGGCTGATTTTTTCAAGTATTTTTTGAGGGCCGGAAGCGGTTGCTTGTAATGCTTCCCCTCAGGGTCGGTACTGATGCTAACAAGTACCATTCGGTTTTTATTAATTATCGGATCGGATTCGGTTCGGTTCCTTCCGGGTTCGGTTCGGATCGGATCTAACCAATGTTTAAAATCGTCCCAAAATATATTTTTTAAAACCTCGAAAATTGACAAATTTTTTTTTCAAAATATATAAATTATTTACAAATCTAATTGAAAATTAGTTAAACTATCTAAATTAACTAAAAAGTATTCAAAATAACAAATAAAACAAACTACAAAAATATTTTGAATACTCTAAAATATCTAAATCACCTTAACATATATAAAAACATTAACATATTTAACTAATTTCAGATATCTTCGGATTCTAATTCGGATTTCGATTCGGTTCGGATTATAACCACAGTCCAAAGTACTAAACTCATAAATCCCGTTCGGATATTTTTTTGTAAAACAGTTTGGATTCGGTTTCGGTTTTTCCGGTTCGGGTTAAGGTTGGTATTTTGGGTTGAGTTAAAAACGCCCAGGCCTACAAGAGACTGGTGAACTAGCATGTAACATATGGTCTATGTTTAATAAGGATACAGACAAACGATGGCCTAACTAAAGATTATTGATACAAATATTCACTTAATAATCTGATTTAAACGCTTACTTCGTTTTTTTTGTGAATAGTTAATTAACTCTCTACTTGTCGTTTCATCATGCGTTTAATGTCCGCACGTAACACTCTTTATCAATCCATATATTCATTGATATGAAAACAATACATCAGTTTAATCCTCGAAATACTGTATATACGAACTATTTTTTATTGGTCGACAATATTGGTTTATGTACCTCAAATTGTGAAAAATATATTAAATACTCAATAATATTTAATTAGCTTTATTGTATTAATTGTTTAGAATCCATGTGAGAGATTTTCATTGAAGGTTTTCGAGGATTTGAAAGAATAATCAAAATTTTGAAATATAGAATCATGTGAGAAGTTTCAGACGTAGTCACGTAGAGAAGGCGATGTGTATGTACCCTTTTGTATTCTTACCATTCTATTTTCTCAGAACTGAAAATAATATCAAACCCATATTTGATAAGAAAAAAAAATATCAACCCTATAAATATCACTACTAGGCATCAATAAAGTAACAGAGCTAAGAAGTAACAGAACGATAGAGCGATGGGTAGAGTGACGGAAATTAAAGGCAAACCTCAAGAGGGTGAATGGTCCACCGGTTTCTGCGATTGCTGCGCGGATTGCTCCAGCTGTAAACTATTCTTTACAATTTTCAATAAATATGAAATTCTGTAAATAATCGCATACTTAAAATTCAGCACAATATATATTCACGATCCATTTATAGTAGCCCATATAGATTTATAAGTTATATATTATACTGTATACATTTCTATCAAAATTTTAGATTCCAATTAATCTATCATTTTGAGCCCAAAATTGAATATCTTCTGAAAATAATAATGGAATTTAGGATTAATTGTTGCAGGTTGTATGACATGTTGGTGTCCTTGCGTTACGTTTGGCCGAGTCGCAGAGATTGTAGACCAAGGTTCCTCTTGTAAGTAATCTTATGGGCAAAATCACATTCGTTTTTTTTTTTTTTATCAAAAACAAAAATCAGTTGATTTAACATAAAATAAATTTCAGCATGCTGTGCGGCTGGTGTGGCGTACATGCTATCGTTGTTCACGGTCTGTGGAAGTGTATTCCTCTCGTGCAAATACCGAACTAAAATGAGAAAACAATACAACATTAAGGGTAGCGAATGTGGAGATTTTCTCAAACCTTTTTTCTGTGAGCGTTGTGCCTTAACTCAAGCCTATCGCGAGCTCACCAAACGTGGTTTTGATGTACCCCTCGGTATTATTTTCTTTTGTTTATTAATCTTTAACCAAAGCTTTCAAATAAATAACAACTTATCTGCTACTATTTCGCCTTGTTAAACCAAAATCACTCTTTTAATACAAACCATTAACTTTTCAGGATGGCAAGGAAACGTTGATCGTCATAATGCTGGCGTTGGAATGGGTGCCCCGGTTGTCCAGGGCGGCATGATGAGATGAAAAATATTTGCAGAAGTTTTATATTTTGTTTTCCTCTCTGAATTTTCTTTCATGATATTGCTTTCGTCAAATAAATGTGGGTATTCAATCTTGTGTTCTTTTGTTTCCCTCATTCTTGTGTGTGTGTTTTTTGTTCTCCCTCAATCTTGTGTTTGAACGGATTTTATAAAAGTTTATATAGTATGTGTCATGTGTGTAGTATAACTGTGGGTATGTAAATGTTTTATTTTTAATTACAAAGGCATTTATTTGTTAGAAAATGAATACTACTAGTTAAGGTTGTTAATAAAACTACTAATCAAGGAAAAATATTTGTAGTTAAACTGTTTTATTTCTTGGTAGGATACTGAATGAATCTATTTATATTTGATATATATGTTTTAATGTTGGTCATTGCATTTAAGTTTGAGAAAAAAATATTGGTCATTGCAAAATTTAACACAACATAGTTGGTTTAAGTGACATTTAACTTTGGCGATAAAAAAAGAAGATCATTTAGGACAGAATGAATGTTTTCTGAATTTATCGACCATCTGAATAATACATCAACCTGTACACTTCAGTATTTAATAATGTATAGTTCGAAAAATTAAAAATATATATCATATAGTATATATTTGTCTTGTTAGAACAGTAGTTTACTAATTTGCAAAAGTATTTGAAATAATAGCTATGTTAACATCAGATAAAATATATATTTTAGAAATATTCGGTAAAGGATATCGACAACGGGAATAGTCAATTAATTGCGTGCCATACTTCTATATGATTTGGTCGTGATTGTAACTATAGATAATATTTTGATATTACGTCGATTTGAACTATTTATTGGTTATTTTAATCTTTTCTTTCTTACTTCTATAAACTAACGCACTTTATTGTGCAAATTCTTTGTGATAATTGTTTGGCTGTTATTTGGAATATAAACTTTCAAGATCTCCCACAACGTACAGATTTTCCTCTATGAGCCTAATTTTAATACACTAGTCAGGTATTTATGATTTTCTTAGCACATGAATTTAATGATGTACAGAACTAATTAATATTATATATCATACAGTATATGGAGATTTCAATAAAGAAGAGTGATATCAGTAGAAAGCTATTTTTTTTTTATCACTCTGAATTTGTAAAACTCATAACTTAATCAGTTAGAAAAGTCGTCTGTTTTCGAATGGTGTTGACTGTTTAGATTAAATACTTTGAATATTTTAATACATACAATGATTGGTTCGAAAGAAGGTTATGTGATGATTTCATTTGATCTCCATGTATCCTAATCGAAATAATAAATAGCATTTTTTGTATTTTAATGAAGATAGTGTTATATATGTAGGGCCGGTTCTGAGATTTTGAGAATTTAAATTGATATTTAAACAATTTCAACTAAATTTTTTTAATCAGATTTGGGGGCCTAAATTTTTTTTTCTGGGAAATCTATGTACATATAGTTTTTGTAAAAAATTTGAGAGCTCAAAACGAATGTTTCATCCGACTTGACCCAGAATCGACACCGTATATGTGTCATCATCGTCCATTAAAAATTAGTTCGGTTCCATAAAAACAAAAGCTAAAAAGAAAAGGTAAAAGTCAAGGAAGTTTTAAGTTATGGCGGTGAGTACTTTCAACGAAATTCAAAGACTAAGTAGCTTCGTTAGTTTTTCGTCAAAATAATAGAGGTTCTGCCGAGTTAAAAGATAATGGACTTTATTGTTCTTAACTCTTCTATAAATACAAGCATCATCATTCGTTTCAGATCACAGACCTTAAACATATTGTGCTGTTTAAAAAAAAAAATATATATTCTCTCTCTGTCTCGCGATGGAAGCTCAACACCTTCATGGCAAACCCCAAGCTGAAGGAGAATGGTCCACAGGCTTCTGCGATTGCTTCTCCGACTGCAAAAACTGTAACAAAATAACTCTGTTTTTATTTATATTTTCTATAGCTTTTCACATATATATATTGTACATGTAAAAAGATAATAAATAGCTAATGTTATGGTTGTTATCAATCTACAGTATAGCACCTGATCTTTTAATGGAAATAATGACCAACAAAACTTATTACTACTCTTGCAAAAATGAATGAACAGGTTGTATCACATGCTGGTGTCCATGTATTACATTTGGCCAAGTCGCTGAGATTGTAGATCAAGGATCAACCAGTAAGTTTAACTACTTAAGTCTTAAACCATATAACAAGATATATACATACATATATATATTGACAAATATAAAGAAAGGCAGCAAGCGATAGGGAGAAATAAATTGTGGTTTTGGAAATTTCAGCGTGTGGTACGGCTGGAGCATTATACGCGTTATTAAACGCAGTAACGGGTTGCGCATGTATCTACTCATGTTTCTATCGTAGAAAGATGAGAGCCCAATACAATATTAGAGGCGATGATTGTGGAGACTGCCTTAAACATTTCTTCTGCGAGCTCTGTGCTCTGACCCAACAATATCGTGAACTCAAGAACCGTGGTTTCAATATGGATCTTGGTATTGATTTCTCTTATGCCTGTTTTTCTTTGTAATCTCAAAATGTATATTCCCATTTCTTAAAATTTTATTTGGTATTTTAGGTTGGGCTGGGAACGTGCAGAGTCAACAAAACCAAGGCGCCACGATGGGTGCTCCTGTCTTTCAAGGTGGCATGAACCGTTAAGAATAATTCCTTATATGTAATTTATTTGGTCATATAATAAACGAGGTTTAGTCCTCTGTATGTTTGCGTAATATGCTTGTTAATCATGAAATGAAAGTGATTGTTGAAAAATTTGAGTAATATTCGGTCAAAGATATGACACTTGGACGAGTAACTTGCATACTATTATATACACATACGTGTTTGACTTCGTTTGGTCAAGATTGTAAATATGAGATTGAATCGGTCTACTGCTCGACAAAAAAACGTCTACTTCAAATATTCCATTGTATTTGATGTCAGAGTTCAGTTGTTTACATCCCACTTTTTTTCTGGACCCGATTGGCCTTGATATAATTTAGGACGGGGCAAAATATCTATAAATTTTAATTTAATTCATGATTCGATTTGATTCAGACTAAAAAATTCAGATATCACTAATTCTACAAACAAAAGAGTATATTAAAATACAATATTTATAAGAAAAGAAGTAAGTCACAAATGCTAATATACTTAATAACAGATATCTGATCCGATATGTTACATACATATATACACAGTATATCTGGAGAACTATATATATATAACTTATATAAATATTATATTTTATATAAGTTTTACCTTTACAATGTTTTATTTATTAAAATTTAAATTATTTAAAAGAATTTTAATAATTAATTTTTTTTATTGTTGCAAGAAAATACTATTGTTTTATATCATTTTGGATTTTTTTTTTTAAATATAGATATCCAGTTAAAATCTTTAAAAAAAAATTGGGTATCCAGAACACAAAATATTATTCAGATAAAACGAATCAAATCATAAATACCTCCAAAAATTCAGATATTTGATTTGTGTTCACCCCTAAATATATATACGTTTGTGAGTTAATAGAATAGATATACAATTATTTCTCCTTCAATATTATGGGTGTGACTGGTAATATTTCAAATAATAAAATTGAATGATGAACAAAAATATAGAAAATTAAAGGATTGTTAATGATTAAATCCCTAAGCTCAATTTTTTGGGGTAACAATGCTTAAATTAATATTTACAGACCTCTCAAACTAATGTTATTTAATTAACTAGATCACTTGTCCACAATATCGGTAAAGAAACTGAGGTTTTCAGTAAACATTTAGTTTATGGATTTTTCTTTCTATCCAAATTTGAAGAAGTTTTAGTATTAAAAATTCAAAAAAAAAACAATGAAAATTAATTAGATTTTAATAACTCAGAGTTATAATCTAAGCACTTTTGATCAAATTATAAAAATATATGACGGAAGTTTATTCTAAAATTCACATTACATATAATAAAGTTTTATACTGTTTCTAAATTGTTTAAAATAAAATAATTTGATTTTAGGAGGCATAAATTTAATCTCCATTCAAGTATTGATACATAAGAGATCATGTTTAGTTCAGGTAAAAGACATGTAATTTATAAAATAATATCAAACTGTATTGTATTTAGTGTGGATTTTGAACCAAATTTACTTCATCTATTTTTATGAGTTGTTTGAAGTGCTAATTTATAAATTTTAATTATGCAAATTTCTAATAATTTTAATTAAGTTTTAATAAAAAATTAGTGCTAAAACCTTTCAATTAAGTTGAGCTGGGTGAAAAACTCTTCAAATATTTTTTTTATCGATATTCGATAGCATCAGTTTATTTAACCAGTAGATTTAATTTACTAAACAAAGTTTGTTTAGGATTTTCCGTTTAATATTTAATTAAAGAAAATAAATTTAGTTACAGGATTTTGTCATTAAAATTTTAAAATAGTTTTTTTTACAACAAAAACCTCCAAAAAGATAAGTAAAAGTTTGACTTTCAAATATTTAAACGTGTAGACTAAAAAGAAACTTTTTTTCTTTCTCTTCGAATGTGATTAGAATACAACAGGGGAATTAAGAGTGAAATACTGTCGTCTCAACTGAACTAATCAAGCCACACGTTTTCAGAGGTCAGACAATTTAATGTCCAAGAATAGGGGTGAATATTTTGGTTTTTACTTCTTTCAGGATTTGGTTTCATTTAGTGTCTTGAACTGAATATGGTTTAGTGACGTTCAGAATCAGAGTGATAGAGAGCTATTTTTCTCTCTTGAAACATGGCGAAAAAACACTGTTTTATAATTTTAACGAGAACACTGTTTTATTTTTTTAACGAGAACACTGTTTTATATTTCTAATAATGAGAAACACTGTTACATATGTGTCATCGTCGGCAATTAAAAAAAAGAAAAATAGATTCCTTAAAACAAAACCTAAAAAGAAAAGGTAAAAGTCAAGGAAACTAATAATAAGTAATGGTGGTGGGTACTTTCAAGGAAATTCAAAGATAAATAAAATGTTATATTTGGTCAAAAATAATAGAGGTTCTGCCGAGTTAAAAGATCATTAATGTTCTTATAAATACAACCATCATCGTTCGTTTCTGATCAAAGACCTTGAACATATTGTTCTGTTTAAAATATAGTTTATCTCTCTCTCGCGATGGAAGCTCAACACCTTCATGCCATGCCTCAAGCTGAAAAAGAATGGTCCACGGGATTCTGTGATTGCTTCTCCGACTGCAAAAACTGTAATAAATTAAAATAACTCCCTTTTATTTATTAATTTCTATAGCTATTCACATATATAATTATACATATATATATAACTAATGTTATCTACAGTTTATCCCCTAATACTATGTTAATGGAAAAGTGTCGACCAACTAAACTTATTGCTAAGCTTGCAAATATGAATGAACAGGTTGTATCACATGTTGGTGTCCATGCATTACATTTGGCCAAGTCGCTGAGATTGTGGATCAAGGATCAACCAGTAAGTTTAATTATTTAAGTCTTAAACCATATAACAAGATACATATATATATATAATCTTAATAGTCCAATATAAAGATAGACAGCATGCGATAGCCATAAATAAATTGTTGTTTTGGAAATATCAGCGTGTGGTACGGCAGGAGCATTATACGCGTTAATAAGCTTTTTCACGGGCTGTGGATGTATCTACTCATGTTTCTATCGTGGAAAGATGAGAGCTCAATACAATATTAGAGGCGATGATTGTGGAGACTGCCTTAAACATTTCTGCTGCGAGGTCTGTGCTCTCACCCAACAATACCGTGAACTCCAGAACCGCGGTTTCAATATGGATCTTGGTATTGGTTTCTTTTATACCTTTTTCTTTTGTTGGGTTGTGATTGGTTTGTTTATCGTATTGCTTACAAGTTAATTGGTATTTTAGGATGGGCTGGGAACGTACAGAGGCAGCAGAACCAAGGCGTGGCGATGGGTGTTCCTAGTGCTCCAGTCTTCCAAGGCGGCATGACCCGCTAATATTTATTCCTTTATATGTAATTCATTTTAGTCAATTCAATAAAACGAGGTCTAGTCCTCTTCGTGTGTGTTGTGTAATGTGTTTGTTATAAAGTGCTTTGTAAAAAAAAAGTGTTTGTTACGAAAATGGTTGTATCTATTTGTATAATATTCGGTCTAAGGATATGCTAGTTGGAGTAGTCAATTTGCCTGTCATTATATAGACGTCTTTGACTTGGCTTGGTCGAGATTGGATAGTAAACTAATGTTTAACTCTAGCTAAATAAAAGTCTCATCATTTTACAAGTTCTTCAATTTAATTTGCATATTCAGTTCAGTTTGGGTTTGTGGTTCAAATTTCCAAATTGCAAATCATCTTTGATCTAATAGTTTTATACTTAGAAGGCATAACAGGACACGTATACTTCCCACCCATGTGTTTATATATTTATAAATCTTAGCCTTTATTGGGCTTTCTATGTTATAGGTTGGGCATTGTAGTAAATTTTGTGTTATCACTTGTGGTTTCTCGATTCCTATATAAGGGGTTCGATTGATGAATATGTCAGATTCTTATGTGTTTCCTTTTTGTCCGTCAATGTCGATGATGATGTGAATAAATAGCCGCACAAGGTTCTGAATCTCTAATGATACGTCTTCGGTCCATCCTTGTCCTGTTACTGCCTTGTTTTTCTTTTTTTTTTTTTTGCCAGGGTGTTAACAAACTCTAGATCTTCTTTACGTAAATCTAAACCTTCATGCTAATGATATTTACCATTTACCCAAAAAAAATGATACGTCCCTATAAATATAAGCTTCGTTTCTTCATTCTTGATACGAAAACACTGGAACCCTCTCTTTGAGTACGTATTTTAAAGAAAACGACTAATATATATAGATGCTCACACGGTCACACCATCATGGCAAGTCTAGCTACATTTGAAGAAGAATGGTCCTCAGGCTTGAGTTACAAGCTCATCAAGCAAGGGGTTTAGATTAAAATAATAAAATTTCTAAAATTATATATTATTTAGAACCATGGTCCGAGTTCACACGAGGGTCCTAACATTATTATTTTTGATGAATAATATATTATAAGATTATCTTATAGGTATTAGTTTCGGCGTATATGATTTTGGACCGACTTTAATAACTAATAAGGTGTCGACAAAGACCAACGGACCTAAACGGTCGAATATTTGTTTAATCCAAAATCAAATACTACACTCATATGTTGATGACGAAAGTTAATATTTTTGTGTATCTAGAAGTTGCATCACTCACAGAGATTGGAAACTGTGAATGGCATGTTTCCAAATGATGATATGTATATTTTCTTCTGTATCGACAACGCTAATGACATCTAAGACGTGGAACATCTGATAATAACACAACCGCTGATTAACTCAAAGAGACAGAGAGTTATTAATAGTTTTAACTTTTTAATTTTCATTAAAGTAGGTGAGAAGTACTAATAATCGATGTCATTGGCTGATGACAGTTAGGAGTAGGTGGAAAATACAGGTTATATTAATCTACAAATGTGAACGGAAGTTTCCAAGAAAATAAAGCAAAAATATTAGGCCAAAAGGGATGATCCATCAAGTATTCAAGTTCCTTTGGCTTATCACGTGTAATCAAACCATTATCATCATCAATGATGTCACCAACCATGTTCTTCATGTTACTAGCTAGTACTACCATCGTTATAAGTCCTAACCTAATGTTCAATTACTTGGTCTATATGTGTTAACTAAAAATAGGCTTTTAACAAAATAATTATTTGATAGTCTTGTTTTATCATCAAACCATAATGTTTTAAATTTATTTATGAGCTACGGTATATTATTTTATATTTTGAACTAAATAATTTTATCGCAAACAAACTATTTAATTATTGTGAATAATGTTTTTCTGAATATTAACTTCATTTAGATCATAGATTTAATTGTCAAATATTGACACAAATCAGATAGAAAGATGGGGAGAGATACAATGAGAGGAAACATAACTACTATACAATTTATTTGTTTGCACTCTCTGCTTTTCTTTATCTTCTTCCTCCCATCAATAAGCAGTTGCCCAAGCACTATACCAAGCACAAAACACTTTTTTTTTGGTAACAAACCAAAGTCCAAACTAATCCTCCACGAGATCACGTGATGACCAGATGCAGTCTTGCTTCACACACCTAAAAGTTACAATCCTTTTCCTTGCTCTGGCGTCATATGTTATCTACAAAGAGCACATCAGATTAGGGTATTGTTTTTCAGCAGATAGAGACCAATGGAACTGACTTGTCTTCTTCTATAGCCTTCATCGATGGTGATGATGAAGAAAGCCGGTGGACCAAAACATCTAAAGCTTCTTTCATCCACCAGTCTCTACAAGCTTCTCTTGCTTCATCTACTTTCATCCACATTCTTTGACGAAGATGTTGTTCAGGCCAAAGCTCAAGCTCTTCTTTCACATGCATTGGGAACATTAGTCCTTCATAAAATGTTCCTCTGCTTTTGCTTAAGAAATCCCATTTTCCAAGTTGTCTCTGCTCAAATATAAACACACATACTTTTTTGAAATATCTAAGCAAAATAGGCCACAACGGTATGATAAAATCAGTTTCAAGTTTTACCTCAACGTCTCCAATAACTCCAGCTTCTTCCAAAGACTCTCTTGAAGCAGCTTCTTCAACAGATTCATCAAGCTCCCAACCACCCTGATATTATATATTCCAGGGCAATTAAATAGTTAATACCTAGAAGACTAATAATCAAAAGCTAGGGTTTATTTTGTTTTGTTTGGTCTAGTTGGTTGTACATAGATTAATTAATACCTTTGGAAACATTAGAGCGTGACCCTTTTGTGATGAGATAACCAACACTTCAAATTTATCACTAACCGTGCCATCGCTTGGAGTTTTGACTCTATACGGAATACACCTACAATTTCACCCAAATTTTAAACTTCTGAAACTTAATTCACACACAAATCAAATCCGAGATACATACCCTACGACTTGACGGCGTCCCTTGTTGTATCTTTGGAACTGACGACCCGTACGAGAGACCACGCACACCATTTTTTTTTTTTTAAAGGGAGATGAATTCAAGACTCTGATGAACGATCACTGTTTTGTATGGACGGAAAATGAATCTTGATAAGAAAGAAGAACCCACGAGGCCACGAATGTTTTTTGTCGGTTTGGAGTTCGAAGTTACAAAGATTGTTTTGAGTGTTAATAATAAGGAAAATGAGTGGATAGAAGATATGAAGTTATGATGGTTGAGTGAAGAAAAGATTGAGATGAGACAAAAATCGCTGTCTCTGCCTCTTATGGCTTATCCTTTTTATAGATAAACGGTCGATTTTATATTCTTTTCTCAAATTTTTTATTTTAATGGTTCCCATCGTCTTTATGGTAATTTTATGTTTTTTTTTGTGGTAATTTAAGTTTAATTTGGTGTAATCATTGATTAGAAACTAAATCAGGGCACTTAAAATTATGAATGGTGAATTACTTTACATCATATCATCAACTAAGCATATGTTTTAGTGAAAACATTAATGATCACTTAAGAAATGCATTCCATTGTTTTCAAAACGATAGTCCACCATTTTATATCTACATATTGCCAGTTTTTTTTTTTTTTTTTGCAAAATGCTTACGTATTACCAGAGATATTTGATGGATCATGGACCCGGGTGAAAAATATTGTAAGAAAATGAGTAAATGAATGTGAACAGAAAGGAATATAGAAAAAAATGTCGACTCATCTCAATATTTTAATAGATGTGAAATTATGAAAACGTAAATAATGGCGGGCCACATAGTTACGTAGCTAGAGAGTAAAGCATATAAAAACAGTTAAATGTAAATGTTGTAAGAAAATGATATACTCCTAAGTATTAATAATTGGAGAGGAGTCATCGCATGTAATTTCTCAATCGTTTCCTGGTCTACGTTTAGGTGGGAGTCTATTATTTATGTGAGAGATTTTAGGGATTTTTATTTTTGTTTAAAGTCGCTATCCATACGCGGCTGGTTAATGTTTACACGGCGGGACGACGTCACGTGCGTCAAGTCAATCCCCATGCATCTTCCAGGGACGTGTTCTAATCGCAATCGCTCATTTCCAAGCGTATGCGACTCTGTGTCCATAGCCCATGGAAAAGATCGATAGTACGGACAAGAACAATGGTTTCACTTAATCCTGAAAAGTGAAACATGTCACTTTCCAAAATTTCTCCAGCTTCGTGTATATACATAACAATTTATTAGAAAAGTTGCAAACTTATAACAATTTACCATTTAACAAGCTCATAGTAGTTTAGTGATTGAAGGATTTATTATCTTGAAAGTTAAAAGGATTAAAGTCGAATCATTCAACTATAATCCTAATCATGTTTGGTTACTACTACCAGTGCCGTGACATTGTACCTAGTAGACGAATAGAAAATTGATAGTTATGTAGTTTCATTCATTTGTGTGTCATTGTACCTAGAAGCATCGATGTTCACCGAATTTTTTAGTCAGAGTTACCAAATGTGAATGTCGTGTATACAGTTAAGTGTGGACACAACCTATTCACTATTATTGTTGTTTTCCACTTTTTAGCCACTCTTTCAGGAATTATAACCCGTTCACCATCCCACAAATTAAGCTATTGAGCGATAATAATTCCTCAAAGACATGAACAAAGAATTTTGGGGGCCTTTCTTTTTATTTTTGTCTTAATTTGTCAAGCAATTGTATTTAGTCAGTGTGACAAATAAGTAGTACAATCTTGAAAATTGAAAACTCATCACTACTTCATTAGTGTTGTATCTGCAGTGCAGCGATTTTTTTTTTTCAAAATTTTTGTTCGTTTGATTAACGCAAGTCTAATCACCTTATTTGACATCAAATTCTACGTTTAACACCATAAAATCATGTGATTATATTTGAGACTGCATCTGAATCTGAGATTGCGTTTGCGTCTACAAAACAAACAACAATTTACAAACATGATGTAACCGCAGTCGCAAAAAGTTGTATCTGCCAAACTAACATTACTGAATTAGAATTTCCGCTCCAAGATATGAACAAACAAATTCAAAATCGATAGGTCTGTGATTGTATAAACTGTAAACTATAAACATCTATAGACGTACATCAAGATTCAACGAAAATAAAAAAAAATAGTACTTTCTAATAATTTTAAATTGTTTTATTATGTTCATCTAAAATAAAATAGTACTTTCTAATAGTTTCATAATTACCGAAATTAGAATTAAATAAAATAAGTTTATTTGAAAATATTGTTGTAAATCTAAAAAAGTACTGTACTTATTAATTAAAAAAATAAAATTGACCCGACCCGGTACAAAACAAAAAGTTCGACCCGAGATTCTCGCCGGAGAAAAGGAAAGGCGTAACTCATCGTACATATAAACCCTGTTTTTTTTTACTGTCGGCTTTTGCTGGCAGACACTTCCTTCCTCCTTCTCCCCTCTCTCTACTCCTCCGCTCCGTAATTTGAACATAAAGTTCGAACCTTTCCTCTTGGTTTCGCGAAGTGAGCTAATAAAAATCGATCTAGGGTTTTGGTTCCCACTAGGGTTTCTCTGTTTCTGAATCCGAATCCTTCCAGTGCTGTTGTTGTTTCGTTACTTCCGATTAAGATGTCGCAAGAGGAGGAGATTGTGATGAGGGACGTGACGAACGCGGGACTCTGCATCGGTGACCGCATTGGCCGAGAAGCCGCGTCTCAGCTCGATCTAGAAGAAGCTCTAGAAGCTTCCAGATACGCTAGTCATCCTTACTCCACTCATCCCAGAGAGGTTAGCTTTTAGTTGAAGCAATTAGCTAAGGGGAATTAGTTGAAATCTAGTAATTACAAATCGAAAGGTTTCTCCTTTATCACTTTGCTGCAGTGGCCACCGTTGATAGAGGTGGGTGATACTTGGGAGCTGCCTTCTGTGCTTATTGAGAGGTATAATACAGCAGGAGGTGAAGGGACTGCTTTATGTGGGATTTTTCCGGAGATTCGACGGGCTTGGGCTTCTGTTGATAACTCTCTGTTTCTGTGGCGTTTTGACAAAAGGTTTGGCTTTTGGCTTTTTAAAACAGGGGAAGTTTAGAGCTTGAGATGTCTCTTTTTACTTAGTTGTTGCTTTTGTCGATTAGGGATGGGCAATGCCCTGAGTATACCGGGGAGGATCAGGCTATTTGTGCGGTTGGTTTAGCGAAGTGTAGACCTGGAGTTTTTGTTGAAGCTATTCAGTATCTTTTGGTGCTGGCTACTCCTGTTGAGGTGACACTTTTTTTGCGAAAGCTTTCTTTAGTTTTGTATATTTTCTATAATTTTTTTCTGAGGGAGAAAGCCTATGCTTTGTCATCAGTTGGTTCTTGTGGGAGTTTGCTGCACTGAAGGACCTGATGGTAGAGATCCATATGCTGAAATTTCAGTACAGCCTCTGCCTGACTATACAATATCGTCAGATGGAGTGGCGATGACTTGCGTTACATGTACTAATAAAGGGCGGATTTTCATGGCGGGCCGTGATGGGCACATATATGAGCTTTTATATACTACTGGCTCAGGCTGGCATAAACGTTGTCGTAAAGTGTGCCTTACTTCTGGTGTTGGTAGTATGATTTCGAGGTACAGATGTTCTCTTCCTTTTTTAACCTTCTTCTTGTTCTTGATAATTGATTCTGTAATGTGGGACAAAAGCAAGCTTCTAGCAGTTTGTTTGTCTTTTCTGATCGTTCTTAACAATTCTGGAAATTATAGGTGGGTTGTACCAAATGTATTCAAGTTTGGAGCTGTAGATCCTGTTGTAGAGATGGTTATTGATAATGAGAGGCAAATCTTATATGCCCGCACTGAAGAGATGAAACTTCAAGCGTATGTTTTTGGGCCAAACGGGGAAGGCCCTCTCAAAATGGTTGCAGAAGAAAGAAATATGTTAAACCAGAAGGATGTGAGCCAGGGAAATCGACAGTCAACAGCGGCAGGTCGATCTAACAAGCCAACCATAGTCAGCATTTCACCATTGTCCATGCTGGAGTCCAAGTGGTTGCACCTTGTTGCTTCCTTATCAGATGGTAGGAGGATGTATCTCTCCACCTCGTCAAGTGGAAGTAGTTTCAGCGGGTTCAGCACTCAGCGCCAGTCTCCAAACTGTTTAAAAGTCATTTCCACTAGGCCATCTCCTCCATTGGGGGCTGGTGTTGGGCTTGGTTTTGGAGCTGCATCTCTTGCTGGTAGAACTCAGACTGAGGATCTCTCCATGAAGGTTGAAACAGCATATTATTCTGTTGGAACCCTTGTCCTTTCAGATTCATCTCCACCTGCTATGTCTTCTCTTCTGGTTGTTAGCAGAGATTCAAGTGTTCAGTCTCAGGTTAGCGGCACTTCAGGTTCAAGTTCAAGGAGTTCTCGGGCATTAAGGGAAGTTGTGTCCTCTCTGCCCATTGAAGGCCGTATGCTTTTTGTAGCAGATGTGCTCCCCTCTCCCGATACTGTTGCTACTGTTCATTCATTATATTCAGAACTTGAATACTGTGGAGTTGAAGTCTCGGGTGAGTCTTATGAAAAGGCTTGTGGAAAACTCTGGGCCAGAGGTGATCTTTCAACCCAGCATATTTTGCCAAGAAGAAAGATAGTCGTTTTTACCACTATGGGTATGATGGAATTGATCTTTAATAGGCCTGTTGATATATTGAGAAGGCTTCTAGAATCCAACTCTCCAAGGTCCCTTTTGGAAGATTTTTTCACTCGCTTTGGAGCAGGTGAAGCCGGTGCAATGTGCTTGATGTTGGCTGCTCGGATGATAAATTTTGAAGATTTAATTAGTAACATTGTTGCCGATAAAGCAGCTGAGGCTTTTGAGGATCCTAGACTTGTAGGAATGCCACAATTTGATGGCAGTAGTGGATTGTCAAACACTAGAACAGCAACTGGAGGTTTCAGCATGGGCCAAGTTGTTCAAGAAGCCGAGCCAATATTCTCAGGCGCTCACGATGGGCTCTGCCTTTGTACTTCAAGACTACTTTTTCCCATATGGGAACTTTCTGTAATGTCTAAAAAACCCAGTTCTGATGCCACGTCTGCGGACGGACTGGTGGTTTGTCGTCTTTCTACCAGTGCTATGCATGTGCTGGAAAGCAAGATTCGATCGTTGGAGAGATTCTTAAGATCTAGAAGGAACCAGAGAAGGGGTCTTTATGGATATGTTGCCGGGTTAGGAGGTGTAACTGGGTCTATTTTGTATGGTACTGGTTCAGAGTTGGGAGCTACTGAAAGGAATATGGTTAGGAACTTGTTTGGAGCATATTCTAATGGAGGCGAGTCAGCAAATAAAAGACAACGGTTGCCATATAGTCCTGCTGAATTGGCTGCCACGGAGGTAAGATTTGTCGAATTCTTATAAATCTAGTGGTACTCTCTCTCTCTTCAGGTGGTCCGTTTAGGAAGAGATTAATTAGTCTTTCCCTCCTGCAGGTGAGGGCGATGGAGTGTATTAGGCAGTTACTTCTCAGATCTGCGGAAGCCCTTTTTCTACTCCAACTTCTTTCTCAACATCATGTTGCTAGATTAGTTCAGGGGCTTGACGCAAACCTAAAGCAAGCTTTGGTTCAGTTGACATTTCATCAGTTAGTGTGTTCTGAAGAGGGTGACCAAATTGCAACAAGACTAATATCTGCCGTGATGGAGGTACCTCACTTTGTAATTTATATTAACTAATTGTTCTGAATGTCTAACTTAAATTTGCTACTATTGGTGCCCCAGTATTATACTGGCTTAGATGGCAGGGGAACAGTTGATGATATAAGTGGGCGACTACGTGAAGGTTGCCCAAGTTACTTCAAGGAGTCTGATTACAAATTCTTCTTAGCTGTTGAACGCCTTGAAAGAGCTGCCTTAGCTTCAGATGCTGAGGAGAAAGAGAATGTTGCTAGAGAGGCGTTCAGTTTCTTGAGTAAAGTCCCCGGATCTGCAGATCTCAGAACTGTCTGCAAACGTTTTGAGGAATTGAGGTTAGTTTTTCATCAAGTAGAATTCTATACAATTGGTTGGTTATAGGTTATGATCATTGGTCAATAAACCTATGTTTCCTTTTCTTGTTTTTGTGTATTAAAGCTTTAATACCCTTCTGATACGAATTTCAATAAATATGAGTAATTTTCAACAGGTTCTATGAAGCTGTTGTATGCTTGCCTTTGCAGAAGGCCCAATCCCTTGATCCTGACGGCGATGCTTTCAATGACCAAATTGATGCTTCCATCAGAGAGCATGCTCTTGCCCAGCGAAAACAATGCTACGAAATTATCGCCAATGCGTTGCGATCTCTAGTTAGTTCCTTGCTAGAGGAGACTTCACGTAAACAATATATATGCCAAATCGTTCATCTTGGTGTGCAATCAACTGATAGAGCATTCCGGGAGTACCTATACACGGCCATGATAGAACTTGGTCTTGAAAACGAGCTGCTTGAGTATGGAGGACAAGATTTGGTACCTTTTCTCAAGAATGCTGGCAGTCAAAATGCATCAGAGGTTAATCATAGCATTAAATCTTCAAATATTATCTACCTGTTACCTAAAACCTTATAGCTGAAAACTAGGAACTTACTCTGCTACCAACTGCGAAACGAAAACAAATCAGGTGTAGTGGTAGACATTACAACTGTTTTTTTCGATAATTTTATTCCTTTCTCCTTATGCCGTAGGTCGGTGCCGTTTCGTCTGGATCATCTCCGCTGGACCACTCAGGGACACAGATTTCATCAAATCAAGCAAAATACTTTGATCTGCTTGCGAAATACTATGTGTCGAAGAGACAGCATGTGCTTGCTGCTCATGTGTTTTTAAGGCTTGCAGAACGACACGCTATTATTTCAGGGGACAGTCCTACTCTTGAACAGAGGTAAGCACACTGTCTTTGATGTTCCGTCTTGAAATTTTCTTCTAATTCCTTTTCCATCTCTAATGGTTTGCTGCTTTGTGAATTAGGCGACAATACCTTAGCCACGCAGTTTTACAGGCCAAGAATGCAAGTAACAGTGACGGTTTAGTAGGTTCTTCTCAAGGTGCTTCTGACAGTGGGTTGCTTGATCTGCTTGAAGGAAAACTCGCTGTTCTCCAGTTTCAAATAAAGATCAGAGACAGACTTGAAGCTATTGCTTCCAGTTTCGAGTCCTCTGATGCCGTGCAGGACTCTGGCCAGAATGAACCAGTAGTTGATGGTGGTTCTAGTGATGATTCCAGCTTAGCAAATGCTGCAAATGAAAAAGCCATGGAGCTCTCCTTGGAACTGAAAAGCATAACGCAGTTGTATAATGAATATGCTGTCCCATTTGAGCTCTGGGAGGTAAGTCCTAAACTATCATATATATATTCTAGTTTTACAATGTAGTTTTGGAACATGTCTCTGGTTAACTGGTTTTATAGAACTTTAGAAACAAGGGACGCCTTTTTTTCTCCCATTCTCTAAGTTAGCTGATATTCTGTAATTTATTTATTGAATGTTTACTTTTCTGGTTTCTCTCTCATATGCAGATATGTCTGGAAATGCTCTACTTTGCCAACTATTCTGGTGATGCTGATTCAACCATCATAAGGGAAACATGGGCTAGACTCATGGAGCAAGCTCTTTCAGAAGGCGGGATAGCTGAAGCCTGTTCAGTTCTCAAGAGAGTAGGATCTCACATATATCCTGGAGTTGTTTTACCGCTCGATGTTTTGTGCCTTCATCTCGAGAAAGCTGCACTTGTAAGCTCCTCCTACTCGTCATGGTTGATTCCTTTTATTATGAGCTTTGAATTTGAATAGAAGTTGCTGATAAATTTTACAGGAGAGAGCAGAGAGGAATGAAATTGTTGGGGATGAAGACATAGCTCGAGCTCTACTAGCCGCCTGCAAAGGCGCAGCTGAACCTGTGCTCAACGCTTATGACCGTTTATTATCCAATGCAGCCATTGTACCATCGCCAAATCTAAGAATCAGGCTCCTTCGTTCGGTTTTGGTGGTGCTACTTGAATGGGCAATGTCTGTGTTGTCAGACAGAATGGGCTCGAGTCCAACCAGGTCTTCTTTGATATTAGGTGGCTCGTTTGCGCACGAGAACAAAGCCGTTCGTAACCAAGGGGTCCGTGATAAGATCGCAAACGCAGCAAACAGGCAAGTAATTTCTCTTTGTCATCTTAAGTAAGCCCGAGTATAAATAAGTAAATGTCATTTTTGTTTGTTTTTGGGGATAATGGGACAGGTACATGACGGAGGTTAGGAGACTGACACTACCACCGACGAAGACGGAGAGTGTATACGCAGGTTTCAAAGAACTTGACGAGTCTCTCATAACTCCATTCTCCTTCTGAGCCATCATCACTTCTTTTTCATCCAGTTTCTTCACCTTAAAGAGGTTTTTTTTAGCAGATTTCATGTAACTTTAAAGCACTCTTGGGGAAATTTCCCCCTTCTTTAGTCTTCAGAGAGAATCAACAGATACCAAAAGAGAGAAAAAAATAATGGTGTAGTTGCTCTTAGATTTGAGGCAATATGTAACTGTTGTTATATTGAAACCAAGTTGACATTTCAGAAACAAGTAATGATGATTAAAGTATATGGTATATGGGTCCTAAACTTACAAACCTCAACATAAGCTCTTTCCAAGATTTTAAGTTGCACACAATTGCACACTTGTTACATGAAATGGAATACTTGCCATGAACTGTTCTGACTAAGACCATTCGTGCTCTCGACGTTGGATTCCATTTCACACATTTTCATAGCATCAAAGGCGAATTTTGTTGGCAGCTTTTACTTCCCCTGAAACTTCAAGACGGAATTAGTGACAAAAGTGTTACTGCTCATCAAATTTCAGCATTTGTCAATACACATATGCTCAACTTAATTAATGAAAGAAAAGCGACATAAAAAGGAGAAGACATCACGAACAAACTTAGTTTATACTATTAAAGCCAAAATACCACATAAAATGACTAGCCGGGACTTTGTCTATTGCAGATAAGATTCAAACATTCTAAGAAAGCATATTAGCAAATACATATCCCCCTTCCGACAAGGCTCACCAGCTTCTTCCAAGAAGACTTATTTCAATCCAACGATGATGATTTGCCTCCAAAAGGACCAGAAAGCATGTCTAGAAATCTTTTGTCCAATCTACCATCCACTAACATATCCATAACCATCTTTATAGTGGAAGCATTAGCAGAGAACCCACACCCTTTCATTTCTTCAATGAGTGCAACTGATTTGCTTATGTTACTGTCAAGGAGATGAGCTCGGATTAGTTTGTTCCATGTACAACCATCTGGCTCATACCCATCTTCCTTCATTTTTCTAAACAATGCGTCCGCTTCAGACAGTGACCTCTTCCTACATAATCCCCCGATCATTATATTGTATGTCTTGATATCAAGCTTCACTCCTCTAGGAGGGAGGCTACAGAATAGATCCCAAGCATCATCGATCTTACTAGCATTGCACATCCCGTGAATGATGATATTATATATACCAATACCAGGATCCATCTTAATCATGTGCATTTTATCAAGTATTTCGAGTGCCTCTTTTAGTTCTCCATTGTCACACAACCCATCCAGCAAAATACCGTAAGTCGTAATATTAGGATGAACACCTTCCGAAACCATCTCTTGGAAGAGTTCTTTGGCAACATTAAGTTTTCCTGACTGACAAAAGCCTTGGATGAGAGTGCTATAAGTCACTGTATCTGCAACCAATCCTCTCAGAGACATTTTGCGGAAAAGTCTCATACCTTCATCAACCATTTTAGCCTTACAGTATCCGTATAAAAGGATATTATAAGTCACAATATTCGGATCGCAAGCCTTGCTAACCATTAGGTCCATCATCTGGTTGGCTTCATCTAAGCGCTTTGCGTTGCACAACCCATATATCAAAGAAGTATATGTAATGGTATCAGGATCTATGCCTCTTGTGATCATCTCATTGTACAATTCTTTAGCTTCAGAAAACTTTCCCTCTTTCACAAAACTATCAATCAAAGCATTGAAAGTGATGACGTCCGGGGTGATTCCCCTTGTAATCATATCTCTCAGAAACTGTGCGCCGTCATCCCATCTTCCGGCATTACAGAAGCTTCCTATGAGAGAGTTATAGGTGAAGACATTTGCTTTGATCCCTTTGGTTTCCATTTCATTGAAAAGGCTGAGCGCATCGTCAAGGCTCCCGTCTTTGCAAAGACTATCGATAATCAAACTGTATGTGACTACTCCGAGCTTCATCTTTCTATGTTCCATCTTTCTGAGCAGATCCAAGGCGGAGGCAGTATTCCCTGACTTACACATTCTGTTCAAAATAGGACCATATGTAAATGTGTCAGGCTGACAGCCATTATCCATCATTCGACCTATCAAAGACATTGCTTCAGAGACTTTTCCTTGTAGACAAAGCCCATTGACAATAGAGTTAAGTGTGATGAGATTTGGAACAACCTTCATTTCCACCATCCGATCAACTAACTCCACAGCTTCAGAAACTCGACCTTGGAGACACAACCCGTTAATCAAAGTAGAGAAGGTGATTGTGTTAGGCTCATACCCAAGCTTCAACATCTTTCCAAAAACAGAAAAGGCAAAACCGAGTTTCCTGAGCCGGCAGAAGCAGTTGATGACAATACTCAGCGTGTAGTTGTTATGCGCAATCCCTTGCAATTCCATTTGCTTGCAGAGACTTAAAACGAGACCATACTGTTTCGTTTTAGCAATACCACTAAACATTCTACTGAAATCTATGAGAGTAGGGAGAGGACGAGACAGAAGCATGGATTGAAAGAGAGCAACAGCATCGTCCTTCTTGATATTAACGAGACCAATTCTCAACCTCTCTCTGTAAGAAGAGATCTTTCTATGGCTGCTGCTGCTGACACCACCAGAAAAGCTTCGTTCGCCGAAGAAACACAAGAACTCTTCGTATGGTCTGTGGAATAAAGAAGTTCTCAGAGTACCTGTCTCCATGAATCGAGGCCGAACAGATCTCAAAGCTTTGGCACTCCGAAGCATCATCAACATCGTGTCTCTCAAACTGAATCGTTCTTTTCCCCAGCTCAAAGCTCTCACACAGTCTTGTAGTTTAATTCATTTATCATATATTTATTAGTTTTTAACTAAATGATTAATTTATTAATTTAATGATTCATTTATTAATTTAAATAATATAAAATTTTCAAATTTTGTAGTAAAAATTAGAATTATTCTGATTTCTATATTATTTAAGAACTGATTTTATTGATTTGTCATGTTTTTATCATTTTAGATAATTTGGTTTATTTCATAATTTTATTAATTTTAGCTAAGCTATTAATTTATTAATCTAAATAGTATAATTATTTCAAAGTTTTAAATTGGAATAAATGATTTTGCTGATTTTTCACATTCTACGTGATTTTAAATAATTTAGCTTATTTGTCATATTTTAATTAGTTTTAGCAGAATAATTAATTTATTAATTTAAATAGTATAATGATTTCAAACTTTATTCTGAATTCTCTATTATTTTTTGAAAATAATTTTCCTGATTTGTTAGGTTCTCTATGATTTTAGGTAATTTAGTTTATTTATCATATTTTATTAGTTTTAACTGAGTCATTAATTTATTAATTTAAACAATATAATTATTTCAAAATTTGCAATTGGTATTAAAATTATTCTGATTTTGACGAGTTTGGACCAATTCTTATACTTTATGTGATGTAAGAAGTTTTAACTGGTGAAAACTCTAACATATGTAAATACTAAATATTATGTGTACGTTATTTAATTACCATGCTTTGGTTTTTCTCAAAGAACAAGTATATACATAATGAATTAGACATCACAATATTGATTAAAACTTTAGGGTTTTATAGTTCTCAGAAGAATAATCTGAACAAACTAAATTCCAGTCGTATATGTTTTGTTAGGTTAATTTCATCAGTTATAAGTATAACATATATTATATTTATTAGTACATGAACTTGACATAGGTGACAGAGCTGCAAAATCTGAAGCTCAGATGATGGTAGAAGAATCATAGCTATGGACGCACATCTCTATGTTTCTTCATTTTATACTGATTTTACCTTTATGGGAGAAATTTCTACTGCGACTTAAAGTGTTAGAAGAGAGTCCAAAGAGGCCTACAAGCAACAGAGGCACGCTCGGTGTTAGAAGTTCAAGCAATGGGCCTTCTCGACAACAATCTCTTGGTGGAGGGAGCCGAGACTAGTCCAAAATATTCATCAAATGGCTCTTTAACCAGGAGAACACCAAGTTCTCAGTCGAGATCATTGACTGCTAGCGCGAGCTAAAGGAACCTGTATATCATTTGATGGGGGAACTAGATCATTAGATAGAAACAAAGTGCTAATGAATAGACCAGGAACAATTTTTTTTTTTTGAACCATCAGTCTTTTGAAGGAATTAGCAGAGTTGAGTCAATAAAAGTTAAAGAATCAGATGACAAGTCAACAAATAATGATAGTGTCCCAGGTGTTTTATACGATTTGCTGCAGAAAGATTTCATAACATAATGATAGTGTCCCAGGTCTCTTCTCCATCTCTAAAGGATTTTCAAACACTGCTCAACTGCTTTTTTGAAGGTAACATATCTAACATGTCACACTGTTTAACGCATTTTGATCTTTTGCAGAGTGTCTGGACGAATTGGTATGACTAGGAGCCCACAATAACAAGCTGATTCCCCCTAAGCAATTCAATTAAAAACCGGGTTTTTTATACCAAATTGGTGAACCACCGGATTTCAAAGCATGTAAAGGGGAAAAATGGTTTGGTTAGATGTGAAGAACCGGTTTTTGGTGTCGTTATGTCGGTATAGAAGAGGTAGGCTTTTGTATTATGTAACATTTTAAGCTCTTAGTATTATGTGATTTTGTTATTCAAAAAGTTTGATAAGCAAAAAGAGAGATGATTACATCTTAACCAAACAAAACCACATTAATTGAACCGGCTTTTAATCATCGACCGGCACGCGTATCCCGCGTCGTGGAGATTTGATATGATTTTCACTTTTGCCCCATAAGTATTATATATTTACATTAATGGCCCCACGTTTCCGCTTTGAAATTGTGTGTTAACGTTCTCTGCTCCATTGGTTCTTTTCCCAGATTCATCGATCTCGCAACCGCGTCGAGATACCAAACTCACCGGACATTTCGAATCCACCGTCCGTTTAACCTCTCTTAGCTTCCGTTGGATCTAGATCTAACCGTCGCTGCGAAGTTTCGCTGAATCTTTTTCCAGGAAAAAAAATATGGCGACGATGAAAAGTTTGATAGGTCTGATCAACAAAATCCAGAGAGCTTGCACTGTCCTCGGAGATCACGGCGGTGAAGGAATGTCTCTCTGGGAAGCTCTCCCAACCGTCGCCGTCGTTGGTGGCCAGGTTTGATCTCTTCTTCCTCTATAGAGATTGTGTATGTTAAGATCCGATCTCATATTAATGTTGTTAACGTTTTTCGAATCAGAGTTCTGGAAAGTCTTCGGTTCTGGAAAGCGTCGTGGGAAGAGACTTTCTTCCTCGTGGATCTGGTATATACGTTTCTCGTTTCTTCCGTTGAAACTGTGTAATTACATTTGAAGATTTGTTAGTGCTTGAGATGAACCTAGACCGCTAGGTCTTCGTTATTGATTGAGTGATTTGTAGTGATGCATCTGATTAGGTTACATTTGATTGATTAGGTATTGTTACTAGGAGGCCGTTGGTGTTGCAGCTTCATAAGACTGAAGACGGAACGACCGAGTATGCAGAGTTTCTTCATGCTCCTAGGAAGAAGTTTACTGATTTTGGTAGGTTGATTGAATCTTTCATGGGAGGCATTGCTTGCTCCTTTTTGAATGTGAAGTTAACTGCTGGAACCTATGAGATACAGAATGGTAGGTTAGGTTGATGAATATTATTCTGTTTTTGCAGCTGCTGTGAGAAAGGAAATCGAGGATGAAACTGATCGTATGACTGGGAAGTCCAAAGCAATCTCAAACATCCCAATTCAGCTGAGCATATATTCGCCCAATGGTTTGTCCTTATTGTTAAACTGAGAGAAATTTCTTATTTTGTTGATTCTAGCAGCGATTAGTCAGATTATCTCAGTCTACACTTTTTTTTCTGCAGTTGTTAATCTGACGCTCATAGATCTTCCGGGTTTGACGAAGGTTGCTGTAGGTAAGACTTTGATACGTCATATCATTGGTTCTTTCTTGAACAATTCACTGACATGGATGTTACTCTTTTAGAGGGACAACCGGAAAGTATCGTCGCGGACATTGAAAATATGGTCCGCTCTTATGTTGAGAAGGTGAGTCAGTTTTAATCTAAGCTATTGATGAGAAAGTTTAGAGCTCGTGTCATTTTTTTCAACCAGCGTGCAATATATCATCCTCGCACACATACTTAAGTGATCCGGAAGGATCATAATATTCTATAATGTTGGCCCTGGAAGCTTATCCTATGAGCTGTTCTTTCTGCAGCCAAATTGCATCATATTGGCTATTTCTCCAGCTAATCAGGACATTGCTACATCAGACGCTATAAAACTTGCTAAAGAAGTTGATCCCACAGGTACTAGCTAGATGTAGTTAGTCTCATAGTCTCCACAACATTTTCTGAAATATTTTACTATTTTATCCGTAGGTGAAAGGACTTTTGGAGTGGCAACCAAGCTTGATATCATGGATAAAGGAACAGATTGTTTAGATGTAAGGATCTTTGTTTACTCCTGCAGCTTGGGGTCTCAGATAAATCATTTGCTTGTTTAATTACTTTGACACCTCCTCTCGGTATTTGATGAAGGTTCTTGAGGGACGGGCATACCGTTTGCAACATCCCTGGGTGGGAATTGTGAATCGTTCACAGGCTGATATCAATAAGAGGGTCGATATGATTGCTGCCCGGAGGAAAGAGCGTGAATATTTTGAAACAAGTCCTGAATACGGGCATTTAGCCAGCAGGATGGGATCAGAATATCTAGCAAAACTCCTGTCTCAGGTACCCTTTTGATTTACTGGCTCGGATTTCGCAGAATGCATAGTGTTTACTGTCGTCCGACTTATCTGTTTCCTCTCTATCAGCACTTAGAGACTGTCATCAGGCAGAAAATCCCCAGTATTGTTGCGTTGATCAACAAAAGCATCGATGAGATAAATGCAGAGCTGGATAGGATTGGGAGACCTATTGCCGTAGATTCAGGGGTAAGATCTTAAACCACATCATTATTCGAAGTTGCATCAGAATCGAATGGATAGTCACCCACCAATTTTTGTTTATTTAAATGCAGGCCCAGCTTTACACGATTTTGGAACTTTGTCGAGCATTTGATCGTGTCTTTAAGGAGCACTTGGATGGAGGGTAAGTGATTTAGTTATCCTATTCCTGCTTCTTAGTCCTATGGCTCATAAATTATTTTTTGTAATATTACACTACGAAGATCAATTTGGAGTCTATGAATGGCTTAGTAAGTCTGGCAAAGTCAGTTTTCTCATATGTATATTTGTAATTTGTACCAGACGACCTGGTGGAGACCGGATCTATGGAGTTTTTGACCACCAGTTACCAGCAGCCTTAAAGAAACTTCCCTTTGATCGACATCTCTCTACCAAAAATGTTCAGAAGGTTGTCTCAGAAGCAGATGGTTATCAGCCACATCTTATTGCTCCTGAACAAGGATACAGAAGGCTCATTGATGGATCCATTAGCTATTTCAAAGGACCAGCTGAAGCGACTGTCGATGCCGTATGCTTCAGAATCTTTATTTGATTTCATTACCTATGAGACTTATTTTCCAAGAAATTGACAGATCTTTGTCTCCTGTTTGATATCTCCTAGGTGCATTTTGTATTGAAAGAGCTGGTCAGAAAGTCGATTTCAGAAACAGAGGTGAGAAGAGGCCTTCTGTTGTGAGAAAATCTGTTTACGTTCAGTATCAACCCTAAAGTGCCATTGTGTTTTTTTTTCTCCATTAGGAGCTGAAGAGATTCCCAACTCTAGCCAGCGATATTGCAGCAGCAGCAAATGAAGCTCTTGAAAGATTCAGAGACGAAAGCAGGAAAACAGTTCTGCGTCTGGTGGACATGGAATCCAGCTACCTCACTGTTGAGTTCTTCCGGAAACTTCACATGGAACCCGAGAAAGAGAAACCAAACCCGAGGAATGCCCCACAGCCAAACGCAGACATATACTCCGACAGTCACTTCAGAAAGATCGGTATGTCTCTCGCTTACCTCACTATGAATGAATGAGACATATCAAATGTGTGTTGACTTTGAATGTAACTCAGGATCCAACGTGAGTGCATACATAAACATGGTCTGTGACACATTGAGAATCTCTCTTCCAAAAGCTGTTGTTTACTGCCAAGTTAGAGAAGCTAAGAGATCGCTCCTCAACTTCTTCTACGCTCAAGTCGGCAGGAAAGAGGTAAGTAATATGCTTAAGTATAGAATATCTGAATCAATTTAAAGAGTAAAGATCACTTTCTAATGATCAATAAAAAAAATGGTGCAGAAGGAGAAGCTGGGAGGTATGTTGGACGAAGACCCCCAACTCATGGAACGAAGAGGAACCTTAGCTAAACGGCTCGAGCTTTACAAACAAGCTAGAGATGACATCGATTCTGTGGCGTGGAAGTAAGACGTGATCAAAGTGTTTCCTAATAAAATATTCTTTATATCTTTAATTGCTTTGCTCGTGTGGGCACTTATGTTGGAAGTGCTAACCTCCAATCCATTGTTGCACACACATACACACGATAACTCAAAATTTTCTTCTGCTGCTAATATCTGTTTCCCACTTTTTAGTTTTGTATCTTTGATTCTTGAATACTGGTTTTTGAACGTTTTGAGTTATATTCAAGTGGTTCGCACTCTTTACCTACAAAGGCTGATGGAATTATATTATGAACTTTAAGATAATGAAAGTATATGAGCCACGATTTGTTTTCTGTTGGTCTCGCCTTGCGACTGCCACTTACTATTCGTGTTCAGTTCAAGTTGTATGAAAACTGATTAAAAGTCAGAGAAGCACCCAACAATTATATATTCTGCAAATTTATCTACTTTAAAATTGTGCTTGGATGGTAACACGTGTGAAGTAACACGTGTTACTATTGTTTCGGGTTATCGGACGGTTCAGCAGTGAAGATCTGGTTATTTTCGGTTCAACTGGATTGTACTTGGATGGTAACACGTGTGAAGTAACACGTGTTACTATTGTTTCGGGTTATCAGACGGTTCAGCAGTGAAGATCTGGTTATTTTCGGTTCAACTGGATTGTACTTGGATGGTAACACGTATGAAGTAAGCGTGTGCTATTGTTTCGATTGGTTAATAATCTAAGTACTTATTAGATTATATATCATGAGTTCTAGTCTTAGATTATATAGTATTAGTTCTACGTCTACATGTGAAATTATGCATGTGGTTGCATAAGTACTTTAAAAAGTATACTAATAAACAAAGCTAAAATCTCCTGAAAGGATCAAATGACAAATCCTTAATGATTTAAGTAATGAACCTGCTTCACATGGTTCATTTGAAAATAGATAAAGACAAAAGACTTATTAAAGTACTCCTTAAGATACGGGATGTAGATCATCATCACAGCTGGGTCTGTACTTTGTAGTGCTTAAACATACTATAAAGTCAAAGATTTCGAGAGCTTCAGCTTCCAGCTGTTCATTTTGCTGCAAGTTGAGGAAATGGATCTACAGTAGAGACACAAGGACACAATCCTTTGTCTTGTTCTGTTTCTGGTCTCTGTCTTCCTGTAGCTTCTTGAGTCTCTTATCAAGAGTGTCACCATCAAAGCTCTTTAACTTCTTTGGTTTATACCTTTTCTTCACGAGGGCTCTCTCTTTCTCTCGCCATTTTCTCCCTTGTGCCGAATCTTTTTGAGTTTTGAGGATTTGAGAGGCAGAGATCATGGAGGAAAGCCAAGAACTTGCTTTGACCCAGTTGAGAAAATCGGTGGAGAAACTTTTTTCTTCCACAGAGGTAAATCAAAGTCAACGCTTTAACTTCATACTACAGAGTTGTATCGTTTGGTTCTCTTTTTTCAAGTTAGTTTGTAGTTTAGAAGTTGAGAAAGATCTGAGATTTGATTCCGTACGCTCCCTGGTCTATTCTAACACTAGGACTTGTCTCATTGGCTTCATTAGGAAAAGGTTTAGTATAAAGTATTCAAAAATAAAAAAAATCTTATCCACTGGTTGTTTTGCTGTGTTGTCGTCTACTCTGAAAGGGATATGAGAAACCTACATTGATGAGGTTCCTGATTGCAAGATCAATGAATCCAGACAAGGCAGCAAAGATGTTTGTAGACTGGCAAAAATGGAGAGCCTCCATGATACCTCCTTCCGGATTCATCCCAGATTCAGAAGTGAAGGATGAATTGGAATTCAGAAAGATCTTTCTTCAGGGTCCAACTAAATCTGGACAACCTTTGGTAGTTTGCAAAGTCTCCAATCATTTTCCTGCCAAGGATCAACTTCTTTTCAAAAGTAATCATCAACTTCTCTAACCTATCACTTGTTCCAAATCTTGACTTTAAAGTCTTAGGTAGTTCTTCTTGAGTAGACAAATATTATGTTTCTCAAGACTCTTTTGTGTGTTTTGTGCTGCAGAGTTTGTTGTTCATTTGCTAGAAAAATCTATATCAAGGTAAACAAACTAAAACTATAAAACATGTCCTTTAGATTTCTTTTACTTTACAAAGCTCTAATGGTTCATATGTTACAGTGCCATTGCCATCCAAGGAAAAGAAGTAGGAGATGAGAAGGTGGTAGGCCTTATTGATCTACAAAACATTACCTACAAGAACCTTGATGCTCGTGGAACTATCACCGGCTTTCAGTTCTTACAAGTAATCAAATAAAATCAATCATCTCCTCTTTTTTCAAGAAAACGCATAACACATCATTGAAATTAGCTAATAGTAATATACTAATCTTCAGGCTTATTACCCGGAACGCCTCTCAAAATGCTACATCTTGCACATGCCCGGATTTTTCGTGACCGTTTGGAGATTCATCTGCCGTTTTCTAGACAAAGCAACTAAGGAAAAGGTTTTGATCTTTGATATCCTCTCTGTCCACGGGTTCTTAAGAAAATCTCAAGCACGTTACGTTTTGTTTTGTTGTTGTTGACTAGATTGTAATAGTAACGAACGGGGAAGAACAGCGACAGCTCGAAGAAGAAGTAGGACTAGATGCATTGCCTGAAGAATATGGTGGACGAGCTAAGCTCACAGCATTCCAAGATGTTAATCTTCCTCAGGCTGCTCCATGAATGTTCACAACAAACACTAATGATAATCTCTTTATTTCCTTTGTGAGCATTTAAAACTTGGCGTTTTCATGATTAGAACAAAACTTTGTTATTACAACTTTTCAACTATTTTAAAAGTTTCCAGAAGAAGCAACTAAACACATGAGAGGGTTGTGAGATTCGGTATTTAGTAGTGGTAAAGTCATGGAATATCTTCACAGCTGTGTAGTGATGATGATAATTCATGGTAATAAATACGTAAGTCAAAAGAAGTTAGATACGCAAATTTATTTCAACATCCAGCTGTCTATTTTTGGTGCGGTTAGGACACAAAGTATTCAATCATTTGTTTGTTTCTGGTAAAGAGTTTGATGGTTTCCGGGTTTCTGTCAACATCACATCATCAAAGCTATTTACTTTCTGCAACCGACTTTTGCGTGTGCATGTGTACGGGCCACATCTATCTTTCTCACCTTTATAATCTATTGGGAAGTGTGTACATGAACATGTGCGTAAGTGTACATCAGCATCAAAGCATATTTCTCTCCCTCTTTTGAGTTCTGAAGACTTGAGAGCCAAAGATCATGGAAGAAAGTCAAGAACTTGCGTTGACCCAGTTGAGAAAATCTGTCGAGAAACTCTCTTCTTCCACAGAGGTAACTTTAAGTTGTAACTTTTTGAATGCCTTTTGAGTTTAGTAAAAGGCATTCACATCAGAAAATCTGATCCCTGGGTTTATTTTTGTTATGTTGTGTTGTTTACTCTGCAAGGGATATGAAGTGCCCACATTGATGAGGTTCTTGGTTGCAAGATCAATGAATCCAGACAAGGCAGCAAAGATGTTTGTAGATTGGCAAAAATGGAGAGCCTCCATGGTTCCTACAAATGAGATCACAGACTCAGAAGTGAAGGATGAGTTGGACTTCAAAAAGATCTGTCTTCAGGGTCCAACAAAATCTGGACACCCTATGGTTCTTGTCCTAACCTCTAAGCACTTTCCTGCTAAGGATCAAGTTATCTTCAAGAGTAATCACTTCTCACTCTGTTTTTAGACTTTTAACTTTCATTGAGTAGATTTGTATTATGTTTTGGGAACCCCCACGTAAGCTTACATTTTCTCTTGTTATTGAGTAGTTTCATTATTGAGTAGCTTACACTATTAGATGCAGAAAGTGTAATATTTTTTTTTCTAGCAATATTATGTGTTTTCCTTTTAGTGGAGTTTTGAGTCTGATGTTAAAAAAAGTATAAATGGACTAAAAATTTCTGTGTTTGGTGTTGCAGAGTTCGTTGTTCATCTGCTAGACAAAACAATCGCAAGGTGTTTACACATCGTTGAAACAAAACACATTTGCAAAACACTAATATACATGTTCCTTGACTATATTACAAACGTTTTGTTTTATGTTTAGTGGCATCAAAGGAAAAGAAGTAGGAGATGAGAAGTTAGTAGCTGTTATCGATCTTTCAAACATCACATACAAGAACCTTGATGCTCGTGGACTAATCACCGGCTTTCAATTCTTACAAGTAAACCTACAATCATCTTTCTCTCTCTCAATGATGTAATTTCACCAGCCACACAACATCATGTCTCATCTTCTTTTAATCTTTGAACATTTGTTACTCAAAGTCTTACTACCCGGAACGCCTTGCAAAATGCTACATATTGCACATGCCTGGATTCTTTTTGAGCGTTTGGAGATTCGTCTGCCGTTTTCTAGAAAAAGCTACTCAGGAAAAGGTTTGTTCTTCAAACTTGATGTATCCATCTCTTTCTTGAGCAAATCTCAAGCACATTAGTCTTTGTTTTGTTGTTGTTGTATAGATTGTGATAGTAAAAGAAGGAGAAGAAGAGAGAAAGTTTAAGGAAGAGATTGGAGTAGATGCACTGCCAGAAGAATATGGTGGCAAAGCTAAGCTCACACTAATCCAAGATGTTCTTCTTCCTCAGGCGTCGGCTCCACATATGTTAACAACAAACATTAATAATGTTTAAGTGTACTCCTTTAGTAGTATTGTTCTGTAATGATTATGACAGAACTTTTGTTAAAGAAGCAATGAAACACATGAGAAATTTGTGCGAATATACTCAATCTGGTAAACGTTCTGTTCTGCTTCCCACTTTAAAACATGTTTGCTCTTTATTGTTTTGAGATAACAACAAACATATGTCGTTCTAGATTGTTAGAACATGATTAATATCTTTTTCTTAGTCGGGATTCTTAACTCATAATTTGACATTATTTTTTATAATTTATAATTAAGAAACGGTTTTATTATGGTGGGGCCTGCACTACAGTGCATGAACCGCGACGACACAAGTTCAAAAGATTAAGATTATTATATTTATTTTTTCTTAGGAAAGGGGTGAACCCCAAGTATGAACCTAATGAGGATGGCCTAAGATTCGAAGAGCGTCTTGATTTTTTATTTAATTTTTATAAAGTCACTACCCTTTTGTTTTTTTTTTTTGTTTTTTATTCTCTTCTCATAGCAGTGTAGAGATGAATAGGTAAAATTAAAAATAACAAAAGTCAAAAGAGAGATGAGAGTTTCAACATCCACCTGTCTAATTATTGCTGCTGTAAAGACCACACGTACACAATCCATTGACTGTTTCTGGACTTAAATGCTTTCCGGGTTTCTGTGAACATCACATCATCAAAGCTCTTTACTTTCTTTACTCTCTCCCTCTCTATCTTTCCGAGTCCTAAAGACCTGAGAGCAAGAGATTATGGAGGAAAGTCAAGAACTTACCTTGACCCAGTTGAGAAAATCAGTCGAGAAACTCTCTTCTTCCACAGAGGTAGATCAAATCAGAGTCGCTTTAGAAGTTCTATATTTTTGATTACTATGTTAAAATTCTATTTTTTTTTAAGGGATATGAAGTTCCCACGTTGATGAGGTTCTTGATTGCAAGATCAATGAATCCAGACAAGGCAGCAAAGATGTTTGTAGATTGGCAAAAATGGAGAGCCTCCATGGTCCCTCCAAATGGGATTCCAGACTCAGAAGTTAAGGATGAATTGGATTTCAAAAGGATCTATCTTCAAGGTCTAACCAAATCCGGACAACCTTTGGTACTTTGTCAGGTCTCTAAGCATTTTCCTGCCAAGGATCCAGTTACCTTCAAGAGTAATCACATCTCTCTCTCTCTGTTTAAGAATGAATATAAACTGTTCACTGAGTAGATACGGATCTTTCATGTTCTCTTGTTAATGAGTAGTTTCATTTTCACCTCTATGATCCAGTTATGAAGTTTGAAGTTGTTGAGTCCATATTATGTGTGTTTTTCTTTAGTAGATTCTTGAGAATATAAGTCATCTATGGACTAATCTGTCATGTGTTTGTTGTTGCAGAGTTTGTTGTTCATGTGCTAGACAAAACACTCGCAAGGTGTTTTACACATCACTGCAACCAAACCATTTCAAAACGCTAGTATTCAGGTTCCTTGATTATATTACAAGCTTTTTTGGTTGATATGTTTTCAGTGGTATCAGAGACAAAGAAGTAGGAGATGAGAAGTTAGTAGCTGTTATCGATCTGTCAAACATCAGTTACAAGAACCTTGATGCTCGTGGATTTATCACTGGTTTTCAGTTCTTACAAGTAAACATGTCATCCTCTTTCTCTCTAACCCTCAAGTAAACATGTCTTCCTCATCTTCTTTTAATCTTTAAACATATGTTTCTCCAGTCTTACTACCCGGAACGCCTTGCAAAATGCTACATCTTGCACATGCCTGGATTCTTTTTGACCGTTTGGAAATTCATCTGCCGTTTTCTAGACAAAGCTACTCAGGAAAAGGTCTTCATCTTTTAAACTTTCTTTTCATGTATTTATCTATCTCTCCACAGCGTCTTGAGCACATCTCAAGCACATTAGTTTTTGTCGTTGTTGTATAGATTGTGATAGTAACAGACGAAGAAGAAGAGAAAAAGTTCAAGGAAGAGATCGGAGTAGATGCCTTGCCAGAAGAATACGGTGGCCAAGCTAAGCTCACACTAATCCAAGATGTTCTTCCAAGATGTTCTTCTTCCTCAGACGTCGGCTCCACAAATGTTAACAACAAACAATAATAATGTTTAAGCTTACTGCTTTCTGTAATGTCATGAAGATGTGCTAATATACTCAAAAATCTGGTAAACGATCAGTTTCGCTTACCACTCTCAAACACCGTGCTGTTTTTAACAATATAAGATAAACAACGCGTGTCGTTTTAATTTCTTAGATTTAAAAAACGTGCTGTTTTTCGTTTTTAAAGTTGTTATAAAGTCACAACCTTTTCTCCATCGCCGCCGCCTCCGAAACCTCTCTCTCACGGCGGCGACAATGGCGACACTCACTCATCAACCCCCAAATACCCATTTCCTTCCTCTCAGAGCCAAACCCAGAACCTTCTCCACACGTGTCAAAATGTCTCTCAACGAATCCGCACCTTCCCTCGCCGTCGTGGGCGTCACCGGCGCCGTCGGACAAGAATTCCTCTCCGTCTTATCCGACCGAGACTTCCCTTACAGCTCCATCAAAATGCTCGCTTCCAAACGCTCCGCCGGGAAACACCTCTCCTTCGACGGCCGTAACTACACCGTCGAAGAGCTCACGGCGGAGAGCTTCTCCGGCGTGGATATAGCTCTGTTCAGCGCCGGAGGGTCAATAAGCAAAAAGTTCGGACCTTTAGCGGCGGAGAGAGGAACCATCGTCGTTGACAACAGCTCTGCTTTTAGAATGGTTGAGGGAGTTCCGTTGGTGATACCTGAAGTGAACCCTGAGGCGATGAGAGGGATTAGAGTTGGGAGTGGT